TGAAAAAAAAGTTTAGTTTTTTTGTTATGTAAATTTCTCACTTATTATGAGTAATAGGATAACTATATTTGGTATATGGGTTCCTTGCAACGTCTACATGTCCATCAGACAGGGTTCACCTGACCTCAGCCTCATTTCATGGATCAGTGATCAAGGTTAAAGTTACGTGATTAGGTCCGTTTCTCAGATACTACACGCAGTAGGTCAGCTATATGTGGTGTATGGAATGATTATAAGGGATACATGTCAGTCTGGCAGGTTTCATCTGACCTTGACCTCATTTTCACGGTTCATTGGTCAATGTTAAGTTTTTGTGTTTTGGTCTGTTTTTCTAATACTATAAGCCATTGGTCAACTATATTTGGTGTATGGAATGATTGTAAGGTGTACATGTCTGTCTGGCAGTTGTCATTTGTCCTTGACCTATTTTCATGGTTCATTGGTCAATGTTAAGTTTTTGTGTTTTGGTCTGTTTTTCTAATACTATAAGCAATAGGTCAACTATATTTGGTGTATGGAATGATTGTAAGGTGTACATGTCTGACTGGCAGGTGTCATTTGTCCTTGACCTCATTTTCATGGTTCATTGGTCAATGTTAAGTTTTTGTGTTTTGGTCTGTTTTTCTAATACTATAAGCAATAGGTCAACTATATTTGGTGTATGGAATGATTGTAAGGTGTACATGTCTGTCTGGCAGGTGTCATTTGTCCTTGACCTCATTTTCATGGTTCATTGGTCAATGTTAAGTTGCTCTTGTTTGGTCCTCTTCTCAGATACTATAAGTTATAGGTCAACTATATGTGGTGTATGGAATGATTGTAAGGTGTGCACGTCTGTCTGACAGGTTTCATCTGACCTTGAGCTTATTTTCATGGTTCATTGGTCAATGTTAAGTTTCTGTTGTTTGGTCTTCTTCTCAGATGCTATAAGTAATTGGTCAACTATGTTTGGTGTATGGAATGTATTTTATTATTTAACTGCTGATTACTTACATTGAAATAGATTATTTTATAAAAAATCTTTAAATAACATTAATAATGATAATACATAATAAAACCTTTTAAGGGATCATTACTAAACCGTGATTAACAAAAACATTGGAAGGTGTGAAAATGTTAAAATAAGGTCACTCATGCATGCATGAATGTTTAACATAGAATACAGTTCACTCCAGTCCCTTCATAAAGATTAATTGGCTGAATATGTACAGATTGAAGAACTTTTGAAATTTTGTTTGCACAACAGAATCACATTTACTGATTTTTGATACATATGAAATAAGATAAGTATTGAGATAAGTAAAAAATATTTTAGCACAGCAACATAAATAGATAAATAGATAATATGAAAATATGACTTTTTACAATATTTTGATCAAAGATTGAAGATAATTTTAGTTTTTTTTTGGGGGGGGGGGGGGTGGGGGGGGGGGGGGGTCTTTCAGGTTCATCTCAAGGAATTGACAAATATTTATCCAGTTTCTGCAATGCCTTAAAACTTTTCCTTGTGCACAGGTTTGTCTGTACTCAAGAGGAAATAAAAAAAAAAATGGCCATATTTGTCAATCCCTTCTGATGAACCTTAAATCTAGATGAAAAATTATTTCATAAGAAATTTCAAAGTTTGCTTTTAGTAGTCATTTGACTTAATGTTTCAAAAAAAAAATTTGTATAATGCTATTTTATTTACTCAAATGTTGTTGCTATATTTGCCTGTGATTTATTAGCCAAAAGTGTATCCCATGTGATTTTATGATGCTGTTTTTTCTAAAAACATGTTACTCAACATGAATGTAAAAGCATTACAGACCTATATTTAAGCCTAAGGTCAAGGTAACTAAAAAAGACTAAAATTTGAACATAGGTTTCAGGATGTATTCAATGGGATTGCAACTTAACTTGGATATGTGGCTACATAAATTAACAGAAAGAAGAGGAAGATCCCTGGCTATTGTTTTGCAAGTCGCTATGTCTTAGTTCGAGGTCCTATTTACTAACAATAGATTTGCAGAAGACCATATTACTGTCTTAAATCATGATTTATATAGGGGCCATGGTAATGTGAGCTTGCTCACTAAAGGTCTATTATATTTCGTTAAGAATGTCAAGAACTGTAAAACAAAATCTACAAATATGCAAATATTACTCAAATCATCAGATCACTTATTCAAAGATGTATTTCCCTTTCATGCTTTTAATGCTAAGTAGTCACTTCCTTTTTAAGCTTACCTGGCCAAAATTGCCATTGTGAGCTTTTGCCATCAATTGGCATCCATCGTCTGTCCATTGTCCTTGACCTCATTTTCTTGGTCCAGCAACTACTTGGAAAAAAAACTGTATGGTTTTTGTAATGTGATTTTCTCAATTATTATGAGTAAAATGATAACTTTATTTGGCATGTGCGTACCTTGCATGGTTCACATATCTGTCAGACATATTTCATTTGACCTTGACATCATTTAATGGATCAGTGAACAAGATTTAGTTTTCATGATAAAGTCCATATCTCAAATTCTATCACCAATAGGTCTTCTATATTTGGTGTATAGAATGATCGTAAGGTTCACATTTCCAACTGGCAGATAAGTGATAAGTTCATAAAATTTTCTGTATGGAATGAATGTTATGTGTATATGTCTGTCTGACAGGTGTCATCTTACCTTGACCTCATTTTATGGTTCATTGGTCAAAGTTCAGTTTCCTCAATGAGGTTTGTTTCTAAGATACTTTAGGCAATATATGTTAAATAAATTTGGTGTATGTAATGATTGTACGGCCTACAGGTTTGTCTGATAGGGTTTATCTCACCTTGCCTTCATGTTCATTCATCATTAAAATGTTAATTTAATGTAAAGCTTATATAAACTTATTTTTTTAACTTTCAACATAAATTCAATTATGAACACTAAAACAGGCGAGACATTTCAGTGTGTCCACTCTTGTTGTTCCATTTTGGGATTATTTCCATTAAAGAATTTCAAATGTTTTTCAGACTTCCAATATTTTCAGCACTCCTGTTTCGTGTAATAAGCTGTGGCATCTTGTAAAAAATTTCAAGTCGTTCAACAAAGGTAAAACAAATGACATTATTATTCTTATAATTCCTTTTATTTTAATAAATTTATCATTTCATCACGATATCGTGTTAGATACACTTGTTAATTCCTTGATTCAACATAACTCTATCCAATAATTGAACCCCCATCTTGTTTTCTGAAAATACAAGAAAAAACATATTTGAATTGATTAATAAATATTGTCTACGATTTTTGTAAAGCGTGTACTTATTTTTTCCTTCTAAAAATACATTAGAAGCAATAAGATCTTTTCAACATAAGTAACAAACAAGTTCAAACGTAATTTCTAATATGAGAGATTTTTATATATTTTAAGCAACAAATGGTGTTTTGGGGTGTTGACAAAAATGAGAACTTCGGTGACCAATGTTCCTTAAAAGAGTAAGCATATAAAGGACAAGACTTAGGAATGGTTATAACATGCTGCTGTTACGAGGTCTCCCAAATAAAGTCCACTTAGATCCATATAAAAAAAATACGTACCCCCGGGTACTCACCCTTTATATCATTCAGTCAAAGAGAAAAATATAGGATTTACGCAAAAAAAAATTGAAGAAATTTCATTCTTTGATTGTAACAAAAGGGGATGATCACGGGGATTTACCCCGAGTATATATCATTCAATACTTCTTGACATGTCAAACAAGAAAATATCATCATTGTTAAGAGATTTGGATCTCAACAACTTTCATGATTTCTTAACATTCTTAAGAAAAGTAAAAGGGAAAATCTCCAAACAATAATGATTCCTTCACATTAGAACAATTGCCAATTTTTTTAAAATGTCATTTTCATTTTCAACTTGTCAGTTGAAAAAAAATTTAATACATATGTACAATTTTGGAAATAAGAGATTATAATATAAAAATAAGAAGATGTGGCATGATTGCCAATGAGACAACTCTCCACAAGAGACCAAATGACACAGAAATTAACAACTATAGGTCACCGTACGGCCTTCAACAATGAGCAAAGCCCATACCGCATAGTCAGCTATAAAAGGCCCCGAAATGTAAAACAATTCAAACGAGAAAACTAACGGCCTAATGTATGTACAAAATAATGAACGAAAATCAAATATGTTACTCAGCAACAAACGACAACCACTAAATTACAGGCTCCTGACTTGGGGCAGGCACATACAGAATGTGGCGGGGTTAAATAGTTTGAAGGCGCCAACCCTCCCCTAACCTGGGACAGTGGTGTAACAGTACAACACAAGAACAAACTATAAAAATCAGTTAAAAAAGGCTTAAATCATCTGATGGATACAAATAGAAATACATCTAACAAAAAAACACAGAGTAGACGTGGCAGGGTACTTATACATCCTCACATCAAAAAGACACTAAGTACATATCTGAGAGTACTCGCAGTTACTGACAGCTAGTTCAAAGCCAATAACAACTAATAAAAAAAATCAAGCATCTAAGACTAAAACATCAATCAGTACACATCCAACATCCAATGAATTTAGTGTAAAGACGTCATTAACAGTCAGAGAAACACATGTCCTGGTGCAATGCCAAGATACAGCGACTCTTTTCACAAAAAAATCTTACGATTAAAATTGATCGTAAGTTATACTGAAATGTGTATGACTTTCGAGTATTTTTACTCTTAAGATTTTTTGTGAAAAGAGCCGCAGGTATCGACTGATTGTAGAGCCATGAATGTGCATATGTATATAAAAATAATATTTAATTTAATTTTAATTTACTGAAACCTGTATTGCTTACAAAGATTCACAGACAAAGTCTGCCTTTGATTCGCATGACGAAGCCGTCCAGTTGAACATATGATTCCTATCCATAGCAGCACAGTTTTGTTGTCCATTAAAATCATTTGGTTGACCTACAGCCCAGTGCGAATAAACAGGAGCCGTCCTAGTTGTTGACCAGATCCAAGTACCAGGTTGAAACATGTCGGTTAGGCCAATCCAGAAGTCTGTTCGAAAAAATCTCAAGTTTATAAGCTTTTCACAAGAATTTGATTTATACAACTTGTAAAATGCACGTAAGCCCATTTATTTTATAAAAATCATCATCAGGTACGATTGAGACCAGAAATTTGAGAAGCCAAAGACTAATCATAAAGAGGAAAAAGGCATAAGCAGAACTGTCGAAATCTTATCTAGTTACTATAACTGACAAAACGAGTCGCAACCTACGGTTAGGTACAATCGCATTATTCATCGACTTATTATACCTATTAAATGTATCAAATAAATCATATATTTGCGAGGCATTAGCTTTTTAGCGGACCAACAAGCAGTGGTAGCCTTCTGCTTCTGCCTGATAATGGCCAATCAACGAGCTGATTATTATGCCATGACCCGTGGTAGTGACGCCGTAGTAGTACGATTTATTTCATTGCGAGGACAGCATTTCACGTGTTTTATTACCAACCTTAATCAGGTGGGCTTAAAGACCAAAACGTCAGGAATTTAACACAGAACGGACTATGGCAAAACTGCCTTACATTCCATGATTGAGTTGCAATCTTAGTTTTAGTACATTTACAAAGTTATCTTTATATACCTGAACTTTTAATTCTTAGTTTTATTGATATCTAAGTTTCATGGCCATTGCGAATGAGGAAATTTCACCACGCTTACATAGGTTTTACGCGTATTTGTTCTTAATTCACGAACGAACAAAATCTACATCGCTTGATATTCATTTAAAACGATGGCAGAAGTTGTATAGAGCAAATACAAAATGTGTATAGTAGTTCAAATCTTTGAAGTATTTGGAGAAAAAAGAATGTTTTATATAAAATAGAAAAACCCTAAAACGTACATACGTCCAGGAAATCTTGACAACATACTGCTAACTATGTTTTGTTCTCCAGATGAATCTATCGTAAGCAAATGTGACTCAAAAAGAGTACAATAAAACTGTAATATAAATGTTATGGAGATTTATAGCCGATCTGAAACTAAAATAGGCGTACGTTATATTACCATTCCTACTACAAACACCAACATCAAATGTGTGTGTCCGTACTTAGTGTATACTTTGCCATCCTCAGTATAGTTTTGTCCAAGAACAAGAACTCAAAGTTAATGCTATTGAAAAAAAAATTATTACATATAACTAACATCTTGCAAGGGCTAATCGCTATAACGTGAAATAAGTGTGATTTTGAGTTGGTTGTACATTTCAGTTTTGATCTGTTTTTTTTGTTTTTTTTATAGCTATAATCCATATTTTACACCTACAACACTGTAGATTTGTGGACTGTCACATCCTATGAGCGGCTGTTTACCTTTGACGTAGTTTATGAATAAAGGAAAAGCGGGGATAACGTTTACTAGAAGAGGCCATCTAGTGATCATAGCCACACACATGCCTGCAGCATTTATATAACTCTTGAAAAGAAAATGTCCACTCTGTCAAAATAAAACATGTATTCTATATGGTCAATGATATTGTTTTTAAATGCAAAAAGATACTAAAAAGTGGATTATTTATTATCATCCTGAAGAAAAAAAAACGGAGTTGTTAAAATAATGTTAATGGGCATAACTCTTAATCAGTACATGTCGAAATCATGAAAATCCGAATTCCCTCGACAACGTTAACGGGAATTCGGAATATTGAACAACCTTTATCAATAAGTTCATTAAAGCAAAAGCTAAAATTACAGGACAATTCCTTAATTGTTTAGCATTGTAAAAACATTGCTGTATAATCTGGGTCTGAAATATCACATTTTATTATATTTCTGCATGTGGAATCATAATTGGGAACAAGTCATGCATATTCATGACGATAACATGATAATGACGTAGGAATATACCCAGTATTTAGTAGACATACTCGCTGAATCACATTTTAACGTGTTGCCTAACAAAAAAGTTAGCAAGGAGAAAAATCACCATACCTAGACACATCATTCTGATTTCGAGCCGACCAGTCTTTACTTGTACTCGTAAATGCTGTAACATCAAGGTATTTTGTTGAACCTAGCCTAGGATTATACCCACTGCTTTTCGCATTAGAGGTTAATATATTACTACGAGACCACCGAGAAGTAGAAATACGGATCTGATCCATGAAATTCTATGATATCTAATTAGAATTGGTAGTTGTAAATAAACTCATCATAGACACCAGGATTGAAATTTTGTATTTTCGCCAGACGCGCGTTTCGTCTACAAAAGACTCATCAGTGACGCTCGAATAAAAAAAAAGTTAAAAAGGCCAAAAATATATATATAATTAAGATCTCACGGAAGCCTCTGCCCATGTCGAAGGTATATTCAACTCCATATAACAGGATTGTCCATTCGCAATAAATCCATCAGGACAGCTGGCTTTTGCGCCGACAAAGGCAACTAGAATTATCACAAAATCAATGATTAAAAGTAAACTAAAAAGAAAGGGGATTTTTGGAAATCGAAAGTGACAATAAAGGAACATAATCCGGATAATAAAACGGAAAGAAAGCAGTAAACACTAACCTTTCCCTTGACAATGTTTTGCCGGAAGTCATCTTGACATTACTCACGTTCGATTACAACTATATTTCCTTATCTTTTGTATGATCCAACTAGTTGAATGCATTAATTTGTCAGTTTTAGTAACTATACAAGGACGAATGTACTGAAATGAATAAGCCGAATATTTTTACGTAACGTTATAACTATTTTATTCTATTCGGGGCGAACGGTTCCTGGACTGTGTAGCAATACAGATATAGCAATAATATCAGATTAAGACGATTAATATTTACAGTAAAGATTAGAATCATTACAAATTATGAGTACTCTTACCAAACAAAATTAGAAGCATATTACACGCCATTTCAAGTTAAACAGATTGTGATTAGATAAGAAAAATAGATCGTTGTGTAAAGACACACGGACTTATAATTCTAATTATATAATAATAATAATAATATATCTAAGTCCAGTGTTGTAGATGTAAAGCGCTACATTTTTAATATATCTACGGCGCTAGACTTTACATTTGCATCGCTGGACTTTAACTATACAGCGCTGGACTTTACATCTGCAGCGCTGGACCACATCTTCAGCGTGGACTTTAAATATTTAGCGATGGACTTTAGATCTACAGCGCTGGACTTTTACATCTCGAGCTTGACTTAAAAAACTTTAAAACCCCAACTCTTTATCTGTACGAGACCAACATGGATCCATAGTTCATTGTAAATCAGATCTATAAAACATTCAAATAAAGGCTATGTCACTCATGTCTATTTAAAACCGCCATGTTTGAGGTCAGTTTTGTCTTGAATTTGGTAAACTACAAGGGAGGGACATGTTTTTCGTATAAAAACTTGAAGATCCAATAAATCTATGGCATATTTCGGATTATTAAATCTATTTGGAACACTTTCAGATTTCAAAATTACCATATAATGAAGTAAGTTTCTGAGAGCTAGGTCATAATTAAATTATCTTGTCTAAATTGTTATTCTTTATGTATGTGTACAGTCTATCTTGAATATATTATAATATTATACAAGTGTGGACACAGATCAGTGTGGATAGTATGATTGGATGTTTGACAGTGTTTTATATGACAAAAGGAGTTCTATGTTTTAGGTTTTCTATGTATTAACTGTGTTGCACAATGACAACCAACATGAGCATTAGGGGTGTTGTTTATGTAATATTTAGTTTTTTATGTTCAACACGGGCATGGAAGAGATACTTATTGCATTAATTACCAAATGATTATGATAGAATATATATGTTCCACATCTTTGATTTTGGATACATTTTGTAGCTAGGAGAGGAACACATAATAGGTTCATTTTTTTCTTTATGTGATTTTTTTATATGGGAGATGCTATCTGAGAACATGTATTTGCTTACTATTTGTATGGTTCTATTTATATTACTTTGTGGGGGATTGTCAGTATCATAAGTAAAAGATTTCGGTTAAATGTGGAAATTGTTTCTCAGTTTAGAAGACATTAAATGTTTTTTTAGTAATGACAATGCCTGACATGATGATTGGGGCTAGATGAGCTAGAAAGTGAATTTCTGTGTTATTTTTAATTAATTCTTTGAAAATATCTCCTCCAAAGCTGGTCAAAGCAAAAAAAAAGTTTTGACCAGTATGAAAATGATATCAACAAAAGAACCTTTGTGAGCATGCTTCAAAGACTCATAACTAACTACAGAAGTCATATGATAAAATGTCAAGTGGATATTATGAACATCTACTTAATATGTCTAAATATCTAAAAAGTTTTAGTATTCAATATGAAAACGCTATTGCAAAAGTATTCTCTTTTCAGTTTTTTTTTGTTATATGGATACAAATATAAGTGATACCAATACAGTAAGGCAGTTTTGTTATGGTATGAAAGTGTAGTAATTAGCATTTACTGTTAAGTAACACAAATTAAGAAATAAACAAATGAATGATAAATGTTGAACATGTACAATGAAATATATTTTAGAAATCAATTAGGCCAGATAGGCCTTATAAATTTTGATCTTTTTCTTAACATACTGAATGAACATTTACACTCAGGACTGAGTCGCCAGTAGGCAGTACAGATGTAAACAAATGTGGATAGTGTCCACATGTGGACACAGATGATGCCCCCGCTTGCATATCATATAGTTATAAAGGGACATAACTGAAGAACGGTAAAAGTGACGCTACCCAAATTTGAACTTGATCTGAGTTTTGTGGTAATAAGCTCATAACATTTGGCTGAGGCTAACTTAAGTAGAGAACAGAAACTCAAAATTCAGCAATTTTTCAATATTATAATATATATACCGCACTGAATATCTTATCTAATAAAGTTATCAAATATTTAGATTTTCTCTTAAAAGCTATTTGGTATTTTGAAGTATGATCAAAGACGCTTCGGACATGGACCCCTGTTTTCTGTATTAAAGATATTTTTAGAAAAATTTCAGCTTATATTCCTGTAATTAACGCGTTATTAATATTACCAAAACAATAAAACATTAGCAACAGTTTATTTGCGCCGCCTTTTCTTTCTCATTGTACATCTTTTGGAGTTGTGCATGGTTGCAGCAAGTGACAGAATTTTCAGAAATGATTGACATTTTATTTTAAATAATTTATCATCCCCCTCATATGTATCTCCAAATATGATGTTTTAATAAATATTAAAGAGTACCGCTTATTTCAATGCCAAGGCTTGTCTCGGTCTTGTTGCAGCAGCACTGCACCTAATATTTCAGCAAATTAACAAGATGAAGAGCAACAACACAGACGTTGTTCTTTTATCATGTTTTTGTCCAGTTTTTAACAGATTATTATCTTTCAAATGGAATAAAAAAACATCTTGGGATAAATATAGAACATTTTAAACCTGGTTTTCTGATTGTTATAGTATACGGAACGAAAACAGCACGCATGACCAACAATATCCCATGAGCTGGCAAAAAATGTGGTATCTGTTTTATGTGAAGATTTATGTATTGAATTGATTGTATACCATTTATATAACGTATTGGTTTGACCATGGAAGTAATATATTGACACTTTCATGGTTTGACCACGGAAGTAATATATTGACACTTTCATGGTTTGACCAATATTTCATAGCATGCTGCTGCGTTGCTAAAAAGTTGGATACAAAATTGAAACTCTTTGTTTGTTCAGAACTTCGATAGATGGGAAGCCGCTCTGGTTACGCTTCGGGTATTTTTTGTTTAAAGATTATGAAGATCAGATTAAGTTAAAAGATAATCTGTTGTTTATAAATGATGCAAATGTTACACTAAAGAACAAACATGAATAAACCCTATGCAAAATAAACATTTTGCTGCCACAATTAATTTATTAGAATGTGGTTCACACATTTAATGCTCACTATTATGGTAGAATGCGGTTTCACATATTAAATGCTCACCATAATATACTAGTAATTAGGTTTCGGGTATTTAATACTCACCATTATATAGTAGTTATGCGGTTTCGGGTATTTGATGCTCACCAACACTTTTCCTTTCAACTCAACACAGGGTTAGGGTTCAACTTCTGGTTAAATGTATACATAGTGACGTCATCATCATCACTTTAAAACATACATTCCTTTAACTGGTAAGACAAATTTACGATTCTCGTATTTTGTGCAAATTTTTATCAATGTCACCACGACACAACTTACAAAACATGTACATCGATAAATAAAAAGATCTTAAGGGTAAGCATCGAATAGACAGAGTCCGAACAAATGGACATAATCAGCTCGAGCTTACAATTACGGTACGGGTATTTTGTTGAAGGTCGTATGGTGACCTGTACTGACATTTATATTTTTGTCAATTCCTTTTGATGAACGCTTGTGTTATTGGCAACGATATCACATCTTATTTTCATATTCGGAAAAACAGCGTCTAAACCATATCTCATGCTGTAAATTTGATTTTCCCCAGTTAAAGGTAAGTTAAAAACAAAAAAAAACCTATATGGATAAAACAGATATATGTGGGACATGCACAAATGACACATTCAAAAGCCGCTAAATAATAGAGACTATCGAAGATCTTAAAACAACAAGTTCGAAAAGGCCATAACGTTCCAGAAACATTAAATTCGATCTTTGAGTTTCTTTCCCCTTTGCGTCATATCTAACTATCTCAACAAGTTTGAGCTTTCTAAAAAGCTGTGGACTGCTTCTCTCTATCGTAATTTAAAGAATCATGTGTACACGTGGTTGTTGATTTAGTATTGGAAATGTGGTATTTTTAGATATTGATTGATATAAAATGGATTTACTTTAAGAGTGTGCGTTTTACACCCATCATCGGCTTTTAAAATTTTGTTCACTTTACTTGTTGAAAATTAAAACATATACAAATAGACACGACTTTGGAGGTGTGCCTAGATTGGCAGAAGTTATAAAATACATATAATGCATTTTTATAAGAAGAAAACATTGTATAGGAACATTGTTTCGCAAAACAAATTGTGCATATTGCAGATTAACAAAGCAAATTAACACGTAATAATAATTGATATTTCAATATTGAATTTCAGTGTGCAATATATATATATGCATAATAAAACGACCATGAATTAATGACAGTTGATCGGAACTGAAATACACATAGTTAATTTTCAGGCATTTGATGTCTTATCCTGAGACGAAAAAAGTCTTTGTCTCATTTAAGCCAATAGCTACTGCTGTATCTCAGCAACCAATCAGAATCTATATGTGATTAGTAATTATTTAAAGACGGCGTGTATGTCGACTGAAACTAATAGCTCCGTGATGCGAAGCAATCAGAAAATATCAGACCGAAAATGTCATAGCTCAAAGCTATAGATCGGTATTTACAGGGGCGAAAACACGACTGTACGAAAAAGAAAATTCTGTATAATAAAAGAATGCTCGTAGATACTGATAACAAAATACGACTGATGTAAAAATCAACCTTTCTAACATATGTATATTTGTTAATAAATCGAATTCATTTTTAGGGAAATACCAACAACATCGTTTGTCAAGAGGCTATTGACTATACTTCCTGATATAATGTGTTTGACCTTGGATGACCTTGGATGCACTTTTGTCTTTTTACATTGATAAACCAGTACAAACGCTCTGAGTATAAGATGAATTGTTTTTTGATATGATATACCACAAGTATGGTGAAACATTGCTCTTTAGATACCCTTCCTTTCACTTAAGGTCGTTTGGAAGCAGTAAATTTGCACTTCAACAGTATGGTTCAACAACCCAGCAATGC